AATGGCACTAGGGTGAAAAAAATGAACTAATCTAATAATCTAATCTGATCTTTCACCAGGAGTTTATCCAAGAGTGAATATCAAAAAGCATTTTGATATTCAAACAGGTTTCTTTATGGTAAATCATCAATGGTGCAAGGTGGAAGATGTTCTGTTATTGATCTACTCTTAAGATTCTTAGCGAAGATGCCAAGTGTAGGGAGCTTTGTATCACCTGAGCTGAGTCCGGCTTGATACCAGTAATGCCACTAGTTATGTATGTGTCTGTCATAAACTCTGTTGTCAAAGCATGTAGACTTGGGGGTTTTTATGGAAATGCACCATGAAAAAAGAGCCAGTCTGGTAGGGTCTTGTTTGCCGAAACTTTAACACGGTTGGATTCATTGGTCACTGTTAAAATAGGGAAAGTATGGCAGGACAGAGTTACTCTTTAACCGGGATCAAACATTCACCAAAGGAAACCACAAACCACACACCGACTGAAGGTACATATGATGCCTTGCCATGGCAAACATACCGGCCTTTTATATTTTGTCAAATTGTAACCACAACGTCCAATGTATGTTACTGGTAAAACATAGGTCAGAGTTCTGATTTGGTTTTCCGGATTTTTTTTTATTTTATTTTTTACAGATAATCTGAAACGCGTGGCACATATTTGCATGTGTCAATACTTGGTAGAAGCACATATTGCAGCAAAGACAGCTGCAAGTCTTCTTTGGGTATATCTCTACCAGCTTCTTACATATCGGGAAACAAAAATCTTGTACGTTCTCTCCATATTTTGCCACAGATTTTCAATTTGATTTAGGTCTGAACTTTGATTGTGCCATTCTAGCAAATGAAAATCCACTCATGCAGCTCAGGTTGTATTTTCAGTGTCTTCCTTCTGCTACAAACTGAATTTATACCCCAGTCTCTTGTCAGCCTCTAACAGATTTTCCCCAGGATTGTTGTGTGTTTACGTTAAATCCGTCTTCCCGCTAGTTTTCATCAACTTCTTTGCCCCTTGCAGAAGAAAAGGACACCGCCATGTTTCACTGCTGGAATGCCGTTTTCAGGGTGATACACATGATTAGTTTCCTTTCAAGAAATGGTTATTGTGAAACTTTAACTGGAACTTTTTATGGCTTTCTTGCCACTCAACTGTGAAGGTCATATTTGTGGAGTCCACAACTAGTAGACGTCCATTTGACTGATTCTCTTACATGAGCCTCGAGTCTCTGCAGCTCCACAAGTTTGCAGTCGTGACCAAACTTTTTCCATTTTCCAGATAATGGTTTGAACAAAACTGTCATGTTTAAATATAACCAAACCCTGCTTTAAACTTCTAGTTCATTTTAGAATTTTGTTTCAGACTTGTATGGCTCCACCATAGAATAAAACACCTTGATTTTTATGGTTATAAAGCGAAACAGTTCCAAGGATAAATAATTTTATAAGGCATCAAACCTAGAAAAAGGTTTATATTACTTCCAGTCATAAACATGTTGGTTAAATTTTTAAAAATCTACTTTCAAGAGCTGAACGAAACAGCAAAAAGTTAATAATTTAAAAGAAATTCAGGTTCTTGTGTACGGATATTTTCAGTGAATACTGTGGGACACAAAGTGACCTACAAGTTTCCAAAACAGAACATAAAAACAATATGTGGGATACTCCTCTAATCAATCATTCCTCTTTTTTTCACTTAACGATGGCATTCAACCTCCCTACTTTACACCAAGCCTCACCCACACTCCCTCTGCATACCACCGACTTCAGATAACTGCTACTTTTTTTTTCCTTCTCCAGCTTCTGGTGAAAGCTTGCTCAGAGACAAAATACCATTTGGTCAATCAGCTGTTACGGTTTTCGCTCACTTTCGGAAGAAAGTAAAGATTAAAGCCTGAAAAACGGCGTCAAACTCTCAACTTTATAAACCCGCCTCCAGTTAGCTGTGAAGTGGTGAATGTGTGACACCTGCTGGCCAGTGTAGGGAGTGCAGCTTTTGGAGAACGGCAATATTTGGGTGAGGATTACTACTGGAAACAAACAAGAATTAAGACGAAAAACACACCCTTAAATCAACTTATAATGAATGAAATACTGATGCAAAGAGAAAGAGGGTGTGATTTAACATAAACAGTAGCAAAATTCTAAAAATCACCAGCTCTTGGTCTGTGAATAGGCTGAATATTACTAAAAGTATACTTACAGCATATCTGTTTGCAGTTTGCAACAGTAAGAGTGGAGGTTAAAGGAAAAATGATTACGTTATGAATTAAAGATCGTGCGACCCCTGGGGGTCAAATGAAAAAATGCAAAAAAAAAAAAAAAAATTACAGGTGTTCCTTAAAATCAAACTCCTGACTTTAAGTAACAGCCACCAGAGAAAACCTGCAGTGACTAAAAAAAAAAAAAAATAAAAATAAAAAAAATAATACATTTTATTTCAAAGGCGCCTTTCTGGCACTCAAGGACACCGTACAAAGAGCAAAAGTAACAGCAACAATAAAAATATAGCAATTAAAAGTAGATTAAATAAATACACAAGAATGTATCTGTATGAAATCTATATATAAATCTATGTAAAAAAAAAATCTATATAAAAATCAAGCAAACCAATTGTGTCATATTGAAAAGGCAGATCTAAAAAGGTGTGTTTTAAGTTCGGTTTTAAATTTAAATCATGCCATCCAGAAAAAAAGCAAAGTCATTCAGCATTAAGACTTTTACTTATAAAACTTTATTACAGACGATGATCAGCTGTGTCATCTAACTAGTCTATCATGCACAGCAATCTGTGCATCAGGAACTATTATAAATACATAAATGACAGACTAATTTAATTTTCTTAAATGAGAATTAGTTCTGAATGCAACAGGAAATATATCAAAGCAACACTGAAGAAGGGTCTTTTAATTATGTTCAGCTCTATGAGAAGTCAGGATTGAACTGTCAGTGTAATCAGCAGCCAGACTAAGAGTCAGTTCAGTCCACTGACTTTTCTGTAGCTCTACCGAAAAGAAAAATACAAAGTCCTTGGTTGCACTCCAGCTCTTTCAGACCAGGTCCACCAGTTTGAATTTGCCCTCCTGTTTCACTGGCATCACGTTGATGAAGGTCTTGTAGAGCACGACTCCTTTGGGCAGCTTGGTGATGACGCGGGTGACCTCGGGGTTTCGGGGCGGTGGGATGTAGACCTCCTTGGTGAACCTGACGTGGCCGTCCTCCAGTGCAAAGAGGGTGTTGTTGGTTCCCAGGCCAACCTGCAGGACAATCATAAAACTACCAACAATACATCAAAACTCCCCAACTGAATGCAAACTGCATGTCACAGCTACATTTAACGTCATAATAAACAACTTCCTGCACAGCATACGATATTAGTTCTCAGAGCAAAACAAGGCGCTGTGACAGCAAGGCTTCTGTAAGATTTTTAAGGATAATATGATTTAATCCGTTTAAAGCCCAAGTCAGTTAACGACATATTTGCGAACTTCTACAGCAAGGTTATTGCAGCATACAGTAAATTAATAATTACCTGCTTTATTTAACTATCAAATCTCTCTCAAGCTGAATTAGCATTGAAATTTCATCTCTACATCCCTGGATAGAAAAAAAAAAGGGTTACTCACATGTGCTCCAGGGTGATACCTTAACTTCCTCTGTGTTGCAAGGATGTTCCCAGCATGTACAAAGCTGCCTTAAGAACATAGCATAACAAAATAATGATCAGCACAATGTGGAATACATGCTTTGAAGATCATTTCAGAGCTTCCAGAGGTGTTCAGATGGGGGCAAATATTACCATCCACTTTCTTAAAGCCAAACCTCCGGCCAGGACTCCTGCCTCCGAGGTTTTTTGAGCTGCCTCCGGCCTTCTTGGAAGCAAACCTCACCGAGTCCAGCAGGTAGGACTCACTGGAAACCAGAAGACCTAAAACCAACACAACACAGCTGAATGCTGCAAACACTGCTGAACTGGTTTGAGTGACGTTTCCAATGTGTTTAATTGACTGTCCCCAAGCAGAGGGCTAACTAGGTAGGTTAGCAAACAAAACGCTGTGCTAACAGAGAAAAGCTAACACCAGCGAACAGACAACGAACGGAACTACAAAATGTTCGCTTTTTTATTGCATTAAAATGCCCGTAAGGTGTTATAATTAACGTTAAGTTGTTTCATACCTGCTCTGGACTTCAGCATCAAGGACGCCAGCGCCGCCATTTTGAAATGTGTCATCAATACGCAATATCCTACGCGTCATATCCGTATCCTTCTGCTGAGTTCAGATACCTCGTACAACGTGCGAAACAGAACTCTCTATATCAAACGAGTGTCCAGATGGTTTTATGTTCATGCTATCGCATTACTTTATCTGGTCGAGTTACATCCGCCCTCTAAAATCATTAAATTTGTTGCGACTACTTTGAAATTGTGTGTATAACTCAGAATCTGAATTTGATCTCCATTATTAACTGTAGTGTAACTGGTGCTCCATTCACAATAACACTCCACAAGTTCATATTATATTAATCATAAACATAATATGAACATTATATATCGTCTTGGAAATTACTATCTATAAATCACTCAAATAATAACTTTAAATTCTATATAATCTAGTCAAGCTAGGTGGAATGCTGTCAGTTTGTATCTTTATGATTTTGGTCAAGCAAAATGATAAGACTGGTCGTTCTGTAGGCGATCCTGTCTTCTAAGATATCAAATGCTTGTCACGAGTAATATTCCATCTTGTCATGCCTTACTGAGGAAATACATTTATTGTAATAACTCAAATAATGCAAAAGTAAAAACTGTCTGTTGTAACAGACAGTGACACGAGTTACAGTTCAAGTTTTCATAAACACTGGAACAAGTGTATGTTTTTTTCCTTGATGGGTTCGTTCTATAAATAAATAAATAAATAAATAAATAAATAAATAAATAAATAAATAAATAAATAAATAAATAAATCGCCAAGTTGAGCCAAACAATTCGGATCTAAAAAAAAAAAGAGCGCAATTCCATCATTAAAAGCTCTGTAGTCCGACTGTCCGTGAATGCAACAAAACCCGGGGAAAATCAAACAACGCGTCACGCGCCTCCCAGCACACGATGATGTAAGTAGCTACAAAAACAAATAGCATTTTGTAGTTAGAAGTTTGTTCATTTGTTCAGTATGTAGTGAAATCCTCCTGTCTTGGAAGTTGTCAGCAGCGCAGCCACGTCCTACTATCTGACGTCTGCGTGCGTGACACTGGCTGCCTTCTTGTCGTGTAAATTGAACTGGCTTTCCGTGTGTTATCTATCGTTTGTCTTTCTAAGGAAATTTTTAATGCTGCGCCAAACTCAATTTAAGAAGTAATTTCTTTCTTTATTGTGAGCTCTTTTTAGGTGCCTGGAATATGTAGCTGGAAGTTAGGAATCCAATTATTTCTGCAGCAACAGATAACGTCACACCAAGAGACTTGTGTAATGGTTCTCCCTTATCTTCCAACGCCAGAACAGGCTGCTAGCAAAGCTCTGTCTGAAACCAAAATTGTGTTCCCGTTGTTGCCGAATTTACCAGCACGCTCAGAACATGTTGCTTGTTTGAATTATTTGTTTGTTAGGGGATCCATTCACGCCTTTTTGTCTGGTAAACACTAAATGTGACAATTTTTCAAAGAAGTCTGGCGAGGGGTTTAAATCAAAGACAAAAAACCCCACACTTTACTAACTGATGATGCTGACAGTTTGTGTTTTCCATCACCATGTGTAGTGATTCACTTCAAAGCGAGGATCTGAGAAGCAGCAGTGACTCAGATGAGGAGCTGCCTGTGTTTGATTTCCTCCAGCCTCGTCCAAGCACCGACGTAGCCTCGCAGAAAGCCCCAAAGAAACCAGCCAGTTCGGTTCTCTGTAGCGTTGGATCGGCTGATGTCATGATGATAAGCAGCGATTCTGAGGACGACGTCCCCCTGGCGCAGAGGGTAAAACTGAGACAGGACAGCGCTGTCCTCACTGAAGGAAACCGAAAAGGCTCTTCAGAGTCAGAGCATCTCCTCACCACATTGGACAAGGAGAGAAGGTCGACCCCAGAGGAAGCGGATGACCTCCCCCACAGGCATCTCTCCGCATCCGAGACCGGAGACGCGACCAAAGCCACAAAAAGGTCGGCGGAGGAGATCCGGGCCTCCAGGGAGGAGGCTCTGAGGAGACGGCAGGACAGGGAGGCGCTCAAGCAGGAACAAGAGAGGCAGAAAGCAGAGAGAAGAGCTCTGGCTGAGGCTTCCAAGTCCCTGAGGCCAGAGGAGTGCATCAAGCATATGGTTGTAGCTGTTGATCCAGGTGAAAGAAGAAAGAAAACTAAAAAAAAAAAAGCTACACGTTTATTAGAAAGCAGCTCAGCTAAGTCATTTTTCTATTTTGCAGCTCTGTTGCAGCTGGAAGGAGGGGGAACTCTGCTGGCGTCTGTGCAGGCTCTGGGTTGTAGCTGCGCCATAGAGAAACAGCCGCTGCCCCGCAGCGTGACCTGGGCCAGGCAGGCTCCAAGCGCACAGGTAAAAAAAAACGACCTCCAGTTTAGTTACAAAAATGCAACACAATCTCAGCTAAGGCTACAACTATTTAGCTATCGATTATTCTGATTTATTAATCGGATAAAAAACAAAAAAAAAAACAAAAAAAAAAACGGGCACAATCTGGAAGTGCTTTGCTTTTAACCACTTGTTTTATATATGATCAAAAGTATATAAAAATGCTGATAAATAATATTCCTTTTGTGTTTGCTTGATTATTTCTAACATTTAATGCATTTGCAGCTTAAGAAATGCTTTTAACATCAACATCCCAAAAATATTTAGCTTTTTCTGCTTGACTTAACATCAACACAGTGTAGGGCTGATCCATTGATTATTTTGTTGAATTAACTGATTAATAACTGGATGCAAGAGGTGTTCGAGATTTGTTTTACAAAAATCTATCCAGCTAAAACAAGGCCACATGAGGAGTTCTGTGTAGAAAATATTTACAGACAAATAAAAATTTTTTTCTATCCTAATTTTTTGGTACAGTTTTGATTTAATTAGTGTTTTAAATATGTTGTTCATTCAGCAAATGGCCTTGTTTTGAGTCTTTTTTTTCTCTCTCTCTCTCTCTTTCTCTCAAGTTAACGATTAATTGATTACTAAACTAGTTGGCAATTATTTGAATAATCGATTCATCACGATTATTCGTTTCAGCCCTGTAGTCTCAGCTCAGCTTGCAACTTGTCAGGGTGCAGCAGTGCAGCTGCAGGGTACATCGAATCAAATGGTGACATTTATGTTTTAGTTATCCGTTGTCCAGTTTTGAATAAAGTTTATTATTATAATATATGTGCTGCCACTGTTTCAGCAGAACGGTGCGGCGCGTGTCCCAGAGCCCCACGTGGTGATGCAGATGACGGTGGAAGACTTCATCACTCTGACCCACAACTACATCCCAGTGAGTCGGCGTGCGAAATTTCTAAAAACTTTCCAGAAACCTTCAGCTGGAAGCCAAGCAGGAGAATTGTTTTGAAAATATTCTGAGATTATTACACAAAATAAACCCTTCGAAACGAGCTTTAGCATTCCAAGCGAGGCCGTAAGCTCGCCGGTAGAAACGGTAAATATCTCCCAAGAGCAGCAATTTTTCTAGATAAGCCTGGGTTCAATCTGTTTTTATCTGTTTGGAGAAGCTTGACCTGAAACAAGCATCTCCCTCTGTTTGTGTAACCCAGGAGGAGAGGTACAGCGGGTCAGCCTGCAGTCCCACCCTCACATCGTGGGTCCGGGAGCGGCAGAGGCGTCACCCGGACAAACGGCTCAGCCTGGCAGTCATCGAGCTGGAGAGCTATTTCAGGTGAGAGTCTCATTAAACCAGAGGCGTGACGGTCATAGGTTGTTTTTATTCATTCGAGCTCAGTGGATTGCTTCAAGGAGATTCACATTTTCTCCGTTTGTCCAGTTTATTAGCCAGTTTTCTATAAACTAAAAGCAGCCAGACCAGAGTGATCCACCACACTGGAGAATCAGAAAGACGTTCTCGTTTCGGCAAAAAGGCACCTGGCACAGAAACGAAAGACAAGTGGACAAAACTTTCACTTATAAGAAATGGATAAAACAATCCTGCCAGTTTTGTGCTGAGGCATTGATGGCCAGTTCACTTTACTCTAAAAATGTGGTTTTAAATTCGCCTAAGCTGTTGTTTTCCTTGGAGTGCAAAAGTTACCGTCTGACTTACAGTCTATCATTTAGCAATCTGTAAAAGCTAATTTCATTACTTCATTTATTTAGTTTTTTTTTAATGATCTGGTATCTAAAATGCATTCTTCAAAAATATTTGTCTGACCTCAGCAAGATTATCCTACGTTGAATTGAAAGAGCAAAAAACTCACCAAAATGCATATGGATTTGCATTTTCACCTTTTGTAGTTTTAAATAAAACTAAACCTAGCAAGAATTGTATTTTTATTTTTTATTTCTTTTAGCTGGATCTGAACATAGTCGATCTAAATTAGATTGAAACGACTGAAACGGCCATTGCTAATTTATCACCAAAGTAGGGTTTTGTACAAGTTTAACAATTTAATGCTAAATAGCCATACCTTAACCTTTACCTTCTGAATCAGCAGCTTTTCATTAGATGCTAACATCTGTCATGTTTTCCATACAAAAGACTTTAGAGTTACTGACTACAGTATAGTGATCTACTAGTGAAGTAACAACTGATTGAAATGTGCCATGAAATGCATCAAAACTGAAAGCCCCCACATTTTTTTGGGTCTGTAAATGCATCACCAAATAACTTTTGACATTAGAGGAGAAAAGAATTAAATGACTAGTTGAGTTTGATTCTTCAGTTGTAATCCCTTCATGTAGCTGTTAACTTAAAACAAAGACAAATGAGTTTCTTTATATTAGGATTATTTGAAGAAAATAATTAAAAACAGCGGAGGTCAAAAGCAGAATCAACAGGCACCTTTTAGGAAAATCAGAAATCGGTGCTGGCTCTCTTGTTTGGCTACTCGCACCACTACATCAGTGTTGCTATGAATGATTTACAGAAAGCTGGCTGCTTAGGGTATCCTGTCAGTCATAAAAATAAAACTCACCTTGATGTTCTCAGGGCCCGAAAGTCTCGGAGCCAGAAGAGGCTCAGAGCGGCTGTGGCTGGGGAAGAGGCAGGAGGAGGAAAAGAGAAGAAAAAACGGAGGAGCGGTCACGCCGAGAAGCTGCCGGAGGTGTCCAGAGTTGAAGTGGAGGAGGTAGGTTTCCCCTCCCGATGGGATACACTGAATAATAACGATGCATAAATTGTGACGAGAAGAAAAAACTAAAACAGGTTTTTTTTAAAAAAAAAAAATGTATTTATCTTGAAAACAAATGCAGCACTAAAAGTCTTAAATAACCCATTATTAAGACAAGCTAGTCAATGAGGAGGGGTTTTTTTCCTTCTCCCTTTTGAAGTTGCATGGTTTTGAAGTTTGTTGAGTAGTACCTGCATTGCTTTTGCGTCATCCAGCTGTTTATTTATTTATACATTTTTGTCAGTCAGCTGCAGATATCTGTGTTGCTGCACATCATTGCATGGTTTATTATACAACCTGCTCCAGGAGAGGGAAAAAAACAGGTGGACAGAAACAGTAAAAAGAAAGAGTTAACACTGGAGTTAATCATGACATTTAAAGATTAATACAGTAAAAAAAACCCTGCATCCTACAGGGTTTATTTAAAATTAAGTTTAATTTTAAATATGGTTATTTTGCTATGTAGTATATATCAACTTATGTATATAAAAAAAATAATTTTTCACTTTCATAAAAAATTAATTCAATATGTCTATTTGAGAAGGCTCTAGCAAGAAAATATCTTATTATTCTATTTCTAATCTGTGTTTTAAATTTTATGTAAATGAGTGGTATTCATTGTGTGTTTTATTTCAGTGTTTTTTTTTATTGCAGAACCTTAAAAAAATAAATGAGAGTTCACAATATAAATGTTATTCTCATCAATTTAATATGCACTTTAATAATGCATCAACAGCAGAAATAAATTTCAATTTAACCAAAAGACACAGAAATCCCCCCCTGTGGTTTAAATCAGTTGAACATCTTAATTGATGCTACTTTACGAAAGCATTTACGCTCAGAAATTAATACATTTATTTATTAAAATTGGTCAAATGCTTGCATTTGACCAATTTTAATAGCAATTGCATTGCTTCTTTTAATTAAAACGCAGGCCCACGTCTCCCTTACGTGTAATGACTTCTGCATTTTTCAACACTTTACACCTGTGGGATGTTTTTGGTTTATTAATGTAACACAACAGTGGAAAGTGTTGCACACTATGTAGCTGATTTTATTTAATCAATCTTCTGATCTTCAGGGGGTTAATAAATGAAGGCACTCATTTGATGGTGATTAGATAATCACATTTGCTGGCTGGGGTGAGGAGAAAAATAATCAAAAAGTGTTAAATTGGTCCCAGTAAACACAAGCCACAATCATATCGACTCAAGGGTAAAATTAGCCACACGATTGTTTAAACGTCCCTCAGTAGGACGCCCGCAAAAGTAGTTTTTGTGATCCAAGCTTCTGATGTTGTAAATCCAGCGTCACGCATAAACTGCATAAACATCTAATCTTAACACTTCCTGTTGCAGTGGAATCATCACAAACATTGACCAGGGATGTCTGTTTAACTTTCCATGACCTTGTCATAACGTACCTCCATTTTGTAGCTCATAGCTACATTTATTTTGTTTACAATTACCTGAACAGAATTTTGGTTTGTAAGGTTTTTTTTTCTGACATTTCTGGATGATCTTGCATCAAAAATTCAGGAAATAGTGTGATTCAATTCAACAAAATGTACAAGCACTGTAAATTTCCTTTAAAAACATATTGCTTCAGGTAGCACATAAAGTTTTCTATGTGTTGCTTTCCTGGACGAGCCCCCAACTTATGTTATTGTATGTCATACAGAGATTAGCATTTTGTCCACACTGCAAGTCAGTTCATAACAAAACTCTCCTTTTGTTCTTTTACAACTATCAATAAATCATTTCGTGTTGTTTCAAGTTTATTTTTAGACAATGGGACCTCTCTGTTTATGTAAATATGTGCGATTATAGCCATGTAGCTAATTTTCATCCCTTGTCCCCATTGGCAGGTTGATGTTTAATAATAAGAAAAACTAGCATCAGATTACAGTATAAAGGAGAATCAGGGTAATTAAACAGTTGTTTGCCATTTGTAGTCTATAATCATTATTAAGTTGAACAGAGTTAGCATAACAGTCCTAAAAATAGAGTTTTTAAGACTCTACCTCTAGCTTAGTTAAGCTACACTAATCTAAACAGGCTAATGGTATGATTAGTAAAATTAGCCTGTGTCCTCTGCCACTGTAACAAACAAATCTACTGCATAGTTTTCTCATGCTAAACGGATTCATATGTTTTATTTGGGTAAATAAATATATTTGTTATCCAAATTTTGGCTCATTGGTCATTGTAATTTAAACCTTAAGTACATTTAGGTGAAATTGTAATTTTGGTGTGCCACCCTTCTACAGTTTGTGCCCTGGTACAAAAAATAAAAATCCAGACGCACCCCTGCAGAAGAGCGTAAACTGTCCTCTGTTTGCCTTTGTCGAGAATAATTTACATCACTAATATGGAAATCTACCAATGTTATTTTTTTTCAAATTATGATATTTATATGAAGTTTTGTTCTGAAGAAGGAAATTAGGCATTCGTTATATCTTCACCGATCCTCGTTCAAAACCCCGTCAGGCCGTGGTCCACCTCCAGCTTCACACCGGCGTCTCCGTCCGCTTCTTATCAACCTGGAAGGAGTTCTCCGACCACATCACCATGACGACCAAAGCGGTAGCCGAGGCCCCTTTCAAGTGAGCAATCCGGAGCCCTGTTTTTTGCTCATCGCATCTCGGCTCGGCGCCGCCTCTGCCGGATCACACGGTCACTTCCCACACTCCTCTCGGTTGTTTTCAGGAGAGCGCGAGAGCAGACCGGCTTCTCCTTTTACCTGGAGAGCGAGTGGGCGGGAGGCCAGCGGGTGGACAAAGCCGGGAAGGGCCTGCTGCAGGCGTGGAAGAGACAGATCCAGCAGTTCAACAGAGTGAGCTCAGACGTGGCGGCTGCCATCTTGGCAGCTTATCCTTCCCCGCAGCTGCTCAAGAAGGTACACATTCACCTCTCCAGCATTTCAACAGGCTCAGATTCAGTCTTTGCAGTCATTGCTAAGATTAATTAAATCTTCCTCTGGTTTTTATACTGAGAAGAGTTAAACATGTTTTTGTCATTTAGGAAGATATAATCTAGACATCCTTCCTGTCTGTTACAGTTTGGGATTAACAAAAAAAAATGCAGATATGAAGCTTTTCCACAACAAATCAGTAGGTAATTTGCTTGAAATGAGCAGATATGTAAATGTTTTTCAACAAACAAAAGCATTCTGCCAAATGCCAAATGATACTTATTATCTGCTACAGTGGGCATTCAGTTTAGCAATTAGAGCAGATAAAACATTCCCAGGTTGCCAATTCTTGTTTTTTTTCCTCAATGCAATCAATAGCTGAATTAAGTTTATAAAAAGTAGGACAATATTGAAATGAAAGTTGACTCTCATTACTGTATAGTTCAGATTTTTTGTGTTGGGTTCTTTTAAGTAGTTGTTAGGAGTCAGTATCTTACCAGGCTAGGTAGAGCTAATGTCTGCAATGTGAAGCAACTTGGAAAAGCAGTAATGTTAAATTGCTTCAGTGGAAAAACTTTTTACATTTTATTTCATTTACATCTGCTGGCACCACATGGAGGCTGTTCAGTCAACAAAACATAAATGGGAAGCATAATTATTTTATGAAATACCTGAAGATATTTTGTAAAAAAAATTAAGAATTTTGTTTTTATTGGTGGATTTCATTCTGCGAAGTCAAAGTTCTGTTACAAAAATAACGATTTGGAGGTTTTATGGCTCCACAGCTCACTCTGCATTTCCTTCAGCTGATTGGAAAAATATAAAAAATATATTTTTATAGTTTAACATCCTTGAGCTACGAAATAAAAAAAATGTTTTGTGTCATATTTGTGATCTTTATTTTTCTTGTGACAATGTAAAATTGCCCATGTGACCTTTATGAAACTATAACCTCCAAGATATCCTTTCAGAACGCCAATAATCTCTCCGTGTGTTCGCAGGCTTACAGCCAGTGCAGGACCGAGAACGAGAAGCTCTCTCTTCTGTCTGACCTTCTGATCCGCAGAGGAGAAGGCGTCACCTCCACAACCCGACGGGTCGGTCCGGAGCTTTCCAAACGTCTTTTCCTCCTGATGCATTCACGTGACCCCGAGCAGAATCTGGACGCCAGCCTTTAAACTCTGAACCGAAACGTTGCTATAGCCCAAATCAAAGGTTCGAGGTCCAACTAGTTGATTTACTCATGCAGATTTTGATGCTGTTCAATAAAGTTTTTATACAACTACAGCTTTGGGCTACCTTCACTCCTTTTTTTTTATTTTATTTTATTTTTTAAATGCTGCTCCATCCTGAAACAGTTCTTTTTTTATTATTTTATTTTTTTCATCAGATTATCTAATCCACAATCCCTGTTAGAAATGATGCAAAATTACATCGGTAGACAGACCAAAACATTAAGTTATGTGGAAATTTTTATATTTTAAAGATCAAAATGAAGATGATTGATACAAGTCACATATTGACAAAATCAGGAAAAAGAAACATTTTCCAAAATCAATTTCTTTTAATATGAAACTAAAAAACCCTTCAGGTTTGTGTCTGGTGAATTTCTGGTTTAAACAAGCTTGATCTACCTTCATTGAGGTTGGTAGAGAATCCAGAAATCCACTTTACTCAAGTAGCAATGCCTCATAATAAAATTACTCAAGTAAAATTATAAAGTACAGTATAGTAAAAAAGAACTCAAGTATTTTCCCCCCCATTACGTTACTCGATTAAATACAACTGAGTAAATGTAACGCAACTCTGTAGTCGAAAATTGATCGAGGTGTTGTGAAGGTCCAGTCAAAGTCTAGACCTTAACCTTATAGAAACACCAACAAACCAATTGAAACAAAAACAATCCATGTCCTCTATTCTTCCATCTTGTCCTCCTCGGTGTTTAGGTTCCACCCAGACGCTGGCAGTCATAAAGACCTCGTCCCCTCCTTCCCGATTTAATCAGGTGCTGTGTGCAGTGAAACACATCCCTCCCCATGTGTCCAACTGATCTGCCTGTGTCAATGAACCCGTCCCCCTTCTCCAGTGCCTGCTACCAGCTTGTGTCGAGCCTTGTTTGCGTTGTGTGGGGGTAAAAAGCCGCCACTGATCCGCTCCACTTTGTTTCGCGATGCCCCACGGCTCATTTCCACTGCATTAGCAAAAATGGAACCTGACCAAGGAGTGACTCGAGCCTGGAACAGAGGTGGGGGAGAAGGATATAAAAAGAGGGGGAGAGACACGGATGGGTAACGAGCTGTTAAATGGGCTTAAAGAGATGAGCAACATGCCTCACACACCGCAGACACACACTGTGGTACATCAGCCGATGAGTCAGGTGGTTCATATTGAAGGAAGGACCACGATGCAGAGGGAAGCGGTAGACTGAATAAGACTTGATTATTTATCCTATCACAAGAATACTTTGATCATAATTATGTGTATGTGGTAAGGAAATGACACTCACGAGAAAAAAATTGAAAACAAGCTGGCGATGAATGTAAAGAAACTTCTTACTTACTTTTTAAAATTCCGGTCTACGAGAATGTGACGCTCACGCAGTCCAAAAATACACATGTCACGTTATCTGGTTTTCTCTAAATTGCTAGTAGGACCGGGTGTGTGCATGCATAGATGTTTGCCTCTGGGTCGTCTTGTGATTGACTGGAGACTGGTCCAGTGTGCATACTGACTGTAAGCCAGCGAGTGTTGGAGACACTCACCAGCCCATGTGATCCTGCCAAGATAAGCAGACAGAGAGCGGATGGATGAAGAAGCCGATGTGTCTAATCATTAATGTGTCCTTTTTTGGTTAGGAAAACCATCAAAGTCTTTTAACTGACTCATTGAACAGTTGGCTTGTATTCTAGAAAGATAGATCCACAATCTGCTGAATCTAGTTTTTGACAATCGGACACTGGCGACAGTCCCTGACGCCATCACTCTACCACTTAGGGTTTCTGGAGTTGCTCTTGGTACATCAGTTTCTATCAAATCAAGTCATTTACATACCAGTCATTTGTCTGTATGAGTGCCAAATTATACTCAACAACCTAGCAAAACTAGCACGTCTGCTTTACACATGTACAATCTCTGTTCCAGTAGTCCCTTTGCTATCCCACAAAAATAATCAAATGATTTTTAAACCTGGGTCTTTCTGGGTATTTGGGGTTGAAATGGATCCTCGAGTTGACTGTTGTGGGAATCTAACCTTCTTTTCTGTTCTAAAAATCAAACAACTTGTCATGTTCAGAAAAAAAACAAGGGTAGTGGCAGTGATAAAAACTTTGTTTTTTTGGAGAAAATTCTTAGGGTTCAAAAGTAGGCAGGAATAATGAAGATGTGTTAGGTTCATTTCTCTGGCGTTTATGTTGTAAAATTCAGTGAATAACTCCAGTACGGAAGAGTCCTGGTACAACTATTTAATGCACTCAAATGCATCAGCTTTGATCATTCATTTCTGCTGTAGTATCAAACAGAGGTTACCAACTTTCTGCAGTCAGGAGATCCAGACTTCCAGACTTCATGGGTCCATCGTATAACCTCAGCACATACACAGCTTTATAAATGCTTCCACGGCATTTATAAAGAGTGAAGAATCATAGCTCCATGTCTGGAGATGTAATTGTCACGTGTGGTGTAGATGGTGTTGTATTCCTTGGGCTGTTTGGACGGAGTTGGGTCCTTGGTTTCACTCACCATTAATGTTTTGCCATTTTGAACAACTTAATATGAGAGTAGTAGTTCTTGTCTTTGTACCAGGGCACAATTGTTTGTCATAAAGACATAAATGAGTGAGTTTGGTGTGTAAGAACTTTACTGACCTGCGCAGAGTTTTGGCTTCAATCCACCGGAGAACCTTTTGGATGAATTATCTTGAACACTTTGATGGCCAAAGTGTTCTTCCGACTTTGATATGTGTGGTGATGTTGAATCCTGAAGTTCATGTAAATACTGGACTATTTAGAGAGCCAAAGACTATTGCCCTGCGGGGTTTAAGCTCAGTGTATTTACCACTAATTTCCTGCTGGGTTGGGTGGGCGGTGAGAGCGTGGACGCCAAAGATCCATAAAATCCCCATCGTCTGCACATAACCAGGAAAATAAGTACATTCACTTCGGTATATCTGGGTTAACTGACTCATCACTGAGTCCACAGGCTCTCCGTACCTGACTTCTACGAAGAGCAGAAAGAAGACTGTGTGCTTTACCACATGCTGTGGCTGGGATGTGTAATTAGTTGCAGCATCATTGCCCCGAAGCTGATGTTACATCAGTCATACAGGAGTAGCAGCAGTCCTCCTGGAGATACCAGAGTCTGCATTCAAGTTCAAAAATAAACAAAGCAAAAGCTTTATGGCAGCTGTGCTTCCCTGAACGGGTGGGGGTTTCACATGGAGCATCTGTTTGCTTATGAACATGTCTGCAGGATAAATGAAAGAAAATGAAGTGTGAATAAATATCTCAGCCGCAGTAAAATTGTTTTCCCCACTCGGTCTGTTTGATGTTATATAAAGGAAGAGACTCCTGCTATGAACAGAAGAGTAATCAGTTCCCTTCACCACTTGTCAGAGCTCTTAATTAAAAAAAAATACTGAGCTATCCAGCCCGAAAGTTTATTGTAACGGCTTAATCTGTAATGATAACATTTTAACAAAGCTTCATAAAACCTTCACCTTTTTAATGAATGTGATAAAAAAACAAAACAAAAAAAAAACAAAAAAAAAGAAAGTGAAAAGCAGTGACATCTTCCAAGAAACGCTGGGCACCGTTATTGTGCCACTAGGGGGCAGAAATGCACCGCATCCAAACAGACGCGGTCTGAAAACGGAGTCAGATGGCGGATGATGGAAAAACACGAGTCTGTGACAGGATTTTGGAGACTGGATAAATGATCAGGCAGGCGGAAAATGTATCATGTAAACCAAAGGACTGGAGAAGGATAAATATTCAGAGATAAGAGTGCTGGAGAATTTGATAAATGGCGCTGATAAGTTTGGTAGGATTTCCTTCTTGCTGAGATAAGATTTCAAAGTGAAGGGCGTGTCAGCCGGTGTTTTGTTTCCATGTGGGGGACGTCTAATGTCTGGCGACTTGGCTGCCTTTTAGCTGTGTGGAGTGTGGCAGAAGAGGGAGGTGTCGGCATGGATTATCATGAAACAGATCCTTCAGAACCTGCTGTCTGCCCCATTAATAATGTATCACCATGAAGTGTGATAGAATTTCACAATATCAGAAGGGAATAGGTTCGCTCCGTGTGTCGGTGCAGGAGGTCAGTCTATCTGTGTTCTGTGTACCAAGATAACCAGATAAAAGACAGAAGTTTGTCATCCCTGTTTCTCTCTCTCCTTTCGTTCAAATAGATTTATGGCATTTTAAGCCTTCTGCCATGGAGAGGAATACATTATACAGCAATTACAATGAATGTCAGTCAGTTTTAGAAATGAGTTTTATGTCTGTCTAAGTGTTTGCCTTCCATCGGACTGATCAAAACTGCATAATACAAAACAATCTGTCAGCTGTACTTGGTACAGATGTATTGGGATATCCATAGTGTGATGATATTATCAGGATATGGAGCCTGCCTTCCACAAAAGACATGGCAATGATGAAAAACTATTAGCCTACAGCATCAAGAAAAGGTAGAGGGTGTTTTCACTACCAGTAGTTCATTAGACGGTTCGATTGGGGATCAAAATTGCAACATTTCTCCAGCTGGTATGGTTCACTTCCATACTGCACTGTGTCTACCGATCCAAACCCTTTGGAAAACCCGTCCTCCCCCCGCTGTGCCTGTGGTGGCGCTGCACCATGAACCACTGATGGAAGCAACACAAAAGCCTCTGAAGAAGACATATGAACAAGTTCCTTCTTCACAAAATGTAAACAAAAATGGAGCAGTATCAGACTTTAGCACTTGTAGGATTTCTTTTTTGTCTTTGGTATAAGACCATGAAGCAGTTCTCCCGCCAGCGTTGGACTCTCGTGTTTGTTTAGGCTTCGTTTCGCCAGAATACCCTGCGTTGTATTTCGCTTCGATCTTTTAGAGGGGTCTGCATCCACATATGCATTCGAACCGCAAGTACGGTTAGACGTAGGTTTGTAGGTGGAGCAGATTTCCATTTTTCGGTCCGTATCAGAGTTCAATTGCACATTTGCACCTTCCTGAAAAACCAAACCCTTCTAAGACGAGCAAACAATAGTTTTCTTAAAATGGATTCAACACCCTGAAACGGATTCAAATCGGAGG